AAATAAGGAGTTTAAGAGAAACATCGGAATTTAAATGTCAAAAAAAATTTGCCAATGCATTCTAATTATAATACAACTTTTAACGCATCTTATTTTTTGAAAATTTTTTACATTTATCAGATTTTATACACATGTATATTTATTTATCTATTGTATTTATTTTATTTATCTATTTATTTTATTTTATTTATTTATTATATTTATTTATCTATTTATTTATCTATTTATTTATTTATTCATGACATACTTATATTTTATATAATTGCATGTTATATATTTAGAATTAATTATTTCACTTATCAGACAATAATTAGTAAATTACACATCAATAGAATCTTAATTTATTATTGAAAAAATATATTAGCACATAAACATATCGTAAAATATATATGAGGATATTATATATGAGAAGATAGAAATGTTAACAAACAACGTTGCAACGTATTGTTTCTTTTTGCATTCTAGCTTACATATTAGCGGATCACGGATATGATGTTTGGTTGGGTAATTTTCGTGGTAATATTTATTCCAGGGCGCATATTTCCCTATCTCCATCAAACTCGACATTTTGGGATTTCAGGTATTCGCATAAAATAAAATAATGATATTTAGAAAATTTTATAATGATAATTAGTTAATTTAATTTGGCGTCAAACACAAAGATCTGATGAACTTATATATGTTTATTTATATATTTTATTTACTTATATATATCTGTGTGCAATTATTTTAGATTGCATTGATCTAGAAATAGTCTCTATATAATAGATTATAAGCATACAAAGTATAGATAGAAAACAGATATGTAGATTATATTTTTTTGTTAATAAGATACATATTTCTTTTGGACAAAAAAAATAAATTTTCGAAATACCTTATTTTTTAATATATTAATATAATTTTTAATAGATTAATATAATAATTTTGCATTTTCTTCCATTTATGTGTTCGAATAAATTTCGACAATTCTCTTATAATTAATTTTAATATTTTACTTAATTATTAAAATTCTTACGAATTTTATATAAAGTGTTCATATAAAGAACCAGAAAACGCTCTATATTTCCACATAAAAAATAATTATCTCGAAAATGTTGCATGCTTCGGAAATTTTCCAAAGGAAAAAGATGTTTGTTTCTAGATAAAAAATATAAAAATATCAAAATCTGTAGTTTGTTTGTCATGCGTCTCATATTACATAAATATAATCATTATATTACATATATGTGAGAATATATTTTTATTATATATTATACTATACTATATATTATGACTATATATTATGACTATACTATATATTATGATATATAATGCATATTTGCATATTTTATGACTCTATATCGGTTAATTTTTGATTAGCCTTAACGAATTGGGCATCTACGATTTACCCACGATGATTACATATATTACAAATATGAGATCGCAACCATTGCATACCTACATTGGTATATCTATGGGCTCAACTTGTTTCTATATAATGGCGACAGAACGTCCGGAAATCGCTCAAATGGTGAAAGTGATGATGAGTCTCGCACCAACAGTTTTTCTTAACCATATGACAAGTCCGATACAATATTTGTTTTTCTTGAAAGATTACAAAGTAAAATACTATTAATTAATTAAAATAATTTATTATTACGTAATAATTATATGAAATAATATATTTTTAGCAAAACAAAGAAAAATAATTATTTTACATCTCGTTCTTACACGATGCACGCTATATAATTTAAAGTGAAAAAATAGAGTGACATAAATAATTCTTTAATTTTAGATGCAATTAAAGTAATCAAATAATACAAATTACATTTTTAAATAATATTAAAGCCTGAATGGAATTTATTTTAATATAAATTTAATTTGTGATTAATTAATGTTATACGTTAAAAAATTTAACAGAAAATTTTCTCTGTCATTAAGAATAATACGGGAACTATACTACATTCTATGTGTATTTAAGAAAGATTAAAGAAAGTTATTTTATAAAATGTGCATTTCATTATTTGAATAAAATTTAGAAGATATCTATGTTGGATCTTTCGAAAAAATGCAGAAAAAATCAAACGTAAATATCTTCTTAACATTATATATCTTATTTCTGATTGCCTCGTACACAATTGTAGTTTTAAATGTTAACGAGAAATTTTTCGATAATTTAAAATTATAATTAAAGAAATTTTTATAAATTATTTCAATCTTATAAGAGAAAATGCTTAGAAATTTATTTATTTATTTTTTTATTATTACTGTCGAAATCTAAAGAAAGACATAATTACAAGTAAATTATCATTAATAAATCTTCTATTTCAGATGATAATGGGATTTTTTTTTCACAAATTTCTGCTAAGCAATTTTGTGAGATCTTTTTTAATATATGGCAGCGAGCAGAACATACTCAAAGATATCTACGTCAACTTGTTTTCTATAATTTTCGGTTACGATCACGAGCAGCTTGATTACGTGAGTAATAATTTCGCAAATGTATGCATATCGCAAACGAAGTACAATTTTATATCATGATGATCGAAGCTTCGATCATCATGTTCGATTAGAGCGATCACGCTTTAGATTAAACTTTGTACGTATGTTTTTATTAGTTTTAATTTATTAACATTTGTTTGCTTTTTATAGCATCTGCCGTTGATATTGAGTCATTTCCCAGCCGGCGGTTCGTTTAATATAGGGGTGCATTATATACAGTTATTTCAATCGGGCAAATTTCGTCAATACGATTATGGTCGTGCGAAAAACATACTGATCTATAATTCGATAGAACCTCCGGAGTACAATCTAACAAATATAACGATTCCGATCGCGTTATTTTATGGCCCTGGCGACTTGTTGGATAACACCATGGTAAATAACGAAAAAATAGATAATAAGAATATAGTTATAATAAATATAAAAAAAACACGTATTGATTATTTTACATTAATTGTGTGCAAGTACATAGAAATTTGCACATAGAATTGAACAGATAATTTTAAAAAATCGCATGTTATAATTTACAAAAATATTTCTTCAAGCATATAAGGAGGTTGTACCATTTACTGCCCAACGTAGTGGATATTTACCAAGTACCGTGGCGCAATTTCAATCACGTAGACTTTATACTTGCTAAGGATGCGCCAAAACTCGTATACGAAAGAGTCCTCAAAATCATGAGGATGGAGAATTCAAATAACATTACATCAATAATCAAAGATGAATGTTACACGTTAAATCTTTATAATAATGGATACGATTGATGACTGTAATCGCAAGTCTATTAAAATGTATTTTAAAATATTTATTTATAAAATATTAATAAGAATTATCAGAGACTTACAAGTAAACCTACGGAAGTGTCACTCATCGATTTTAATGAAACTTTGTACATTTGTAGAACTATGAAAAATATTTGATACGTATTTTTTTTTTATCACCCAAGGTTTGTTCTGGAGGGTTGAAACTATCCTTTAAATGTAGAGAATGGATTTTATGCACCAGGTGGAATAAATTGAATGTTTCAAGAAATTAAATACTTATAACGAGTTTTTGGGATCGCTGAAACTAAATTTGATGTTAATATTATGGAAAATGGCCGATCCAATATGGCCACCAAATATATAAAAAAATGTTCTGTTCGGCTTTGTAGGGTATGGAAGTATTGTAAAAAAAATGTTAAATTTGAATTTTGGTGTTTCTCAAGCAGTTACATTTAAAGGGTTGTTTCAATCCTTCGGAGCAAACCTTGCCGATAAAAAAGTATGTATCAAATATTTTTCATAGTTCTACAAATGTGCAAAGTTTCATGAAAATCGGTGAGCAACACTTCCGTAGGTTTACTCGTTAGTCTACTTTTAAGCAATCGATTCAGTGAGTTTTAGGTTTTTTGGATCGTAAAAGAACTATATTATATTCTACTTAATACTTTGCTATAATTGTATATCTTCCCTACAATAATTCTATATATAATTGTATATATTTGTACATAATTAAATTTCTAATTATATAAATTAAAATAATATAGATGTCAAAATAAATTGCATTGCTATTACAATTACAAAATCTTGTTTTAGATACTAACATTCACTTCTCACAGTCTTTAAAGAAATTTACGAAATGCGGTAAGACGGACTTAGAAAGAAAAATGTTTAAACAGAGAGGAAGATATATTTCTCTGTGCTAGATAAAGAGTTAGCGACAACTTTGTATAAAATAGCAGATAAAAATTTAATTCAAACGATTAATAATATTATGGGATTTTTGTATAGCGTACGAGCATTACTTTTATACGCCTTTTGCTACGCTATACTTTCAACAATATATCTTCAACATATGTATTTTGCAATGTTTTATAATCGTGTGACTAATAACGCGATAGTGCTTCTTTCTTTCAACTCATAAAAAGTGATCTTGAAAAAAAGAATGATTCATTCCAACAGTAAATGCCGCGAAAGCGGCATCTCGTATCATTTCTCTTTTTACTGCTTATTGAATCTCTCATTGATACAATGAAGTTGATGATCGGAATCGTCTATGTGCTATATTTTTGCGATCATCTCGATGCGAGGCCGACAAATATGGTCTTTGATCGAATTACGCTCATGGAGGAATTGATATAGCTTAATTGGAAATGATCGAAACATGCCAAATTTAACTCTGATTTTATTCTTTACACAAATTTATTTATTAAATTGAGGATTAAAATTTCTCTTATTTCAATTTACCCTTTAATATGTCAACAAATTGTGAGATGAACGTGATACCAAAGAAAAACCAAATTACGCGCCCAGATTATTGTAGGGTACATGACCCTGGTACGCCATGGAAGGCGGGGGCGCTGGCAAGACAAGAGGGTAGTGTTGCGTCAGCGTGGCGTCAGTCGGCATATATACAGAGGGAGAGCGCGCGCGGAAGAAGCGACCGCGTGTGTCGAGGTAGCGTGGCGTCGGTCCGGCCGCACAGTTTTAAGTGTACCTCTATCAAATAAATAATGTTTCATTAAGTCGAAGTACATGATTATTGGCCGCTCGACAATCCTTACAAAAATCAGAAGCGGGATTAGGACGCTAGCACACGTAAGGAAACTTAAGAAACTCGAAGAAGTTGCGTCAGCCATCTTCCGTTATTGGTTGAGTCGCCGCGTGAGAGACACGTGCTATCGTTACATACTCAGAAAATCCGAAAAAACGGTCAACGAACGGAACGAAATCACAATGGATCCGAAGAAGTTTTCGATAACTCAACTTAAGGCCGAATTACGAAGACGAGACTTGCCGGTGCACGGACGCAAGGTAGATCTCATCGCGCGTCTGGATAAAGACGACACGAGTGGCACGTGGATGAATTCCGTTGCTTGCGCCGAGTGCCCAACGACCGCCTCAGATAAGGATCTATCGGACGAGGAAGTAGCATTGACCGCGAACGAAGAAGATGACGGTAACGAAGAAAGAACAATAGAAGGCCCAAGAGAGAACAGAAATCGTGACCGCCGAAATAGCGATGAATTAGAGCGCCGTTATCGCGACATGCAACTCGAATTTGAGCGTCGTGAAAACGAACTCCTGAGAAGAGAGTTAGAGATCGCTAGACGGGAGAACGAACAACTACGAAGAGCCACACCACCTGTAGCCGAGGGGGCACGCAGAACAGAGAACATCACCGCCATGTTGGAACTAGTGGGATTCTTCGACGGAAGTGCAGGTACGTTTAGAAAATGGGAGCAACAAGTCCGTCAATTGTGTGCAACCTATCGTCTCGATGATGACCGTGCTAAACTGCTCGTTAGCAACAAAATAAAAGGAAAAGCGAAGAGCTGGTTTCAGGCAGAAAACACGATTGCCATGACTCTTGATGAAATAATGGACGGCTTCCGGAAAATGTATGATCATCGTCCGTTACGTGTAGCCATGAGGAAGAAATTCGAGGCAAGAGAGTGGAAACCATCCGAGAATTTTGCAGATTATTTCCACGATAAAATAATCTTGGCAAAAGACGTTCCTATCGACGAAGAGGAAATGGTCGATTATTTAATTGATGGCATTCCGAGTGACCATCTACAAGACTTAGCACGAATGAAGGAGTTCCAGAAGAAGGAAGATATGTTACGAACCTTCGAGAAAGTATCCTTGCGAACACCTGTGAAAAACAATACGAAACGAGATTCACGACCGACGGGAAAGCACGACGTAAAATCAGCTGATTCACAAAAGGATAATGAGAAAAAAGGAGAAAATCAAGCGAAAAACGACGAAGGAAAACTGAAAAATCCTCGTTGTTATAACTGTAACAAACTAGGGCACATCGCTTCTGACTGTCGTCAACCTAAGCGCGAGAAGGGCTCGTGTTTCAAGTGTGGTGAGATGGGCCACATATCCAAGGACTGTCCAACGAAGACTACGTCATCAACGGAGGTTGCAGTTGTCAACGAGAAGGAAAATCCAGTCTACTCCATCTTCGGCTGCGAGGAGGACGAAGAGACATTTTTTAAAGACGTCGACTACGAAATAAACTGCACAAGTCTTCCCGATACAAATCATAAGATTAGATTAAACACGCTAATGGATTCAGGTAGTAAAGTCAGTTTTATAAAAGAGAGTTTCGCGTTGAAAGAAGCAGTAGAATCTTTCGGTACACACTCGGGAAATTATCATGGTATAAACTACTCACCGTTACGGATTATCGGGTATATACGGCTGAATATCACTATCGATAACGAAACAAAAAATAATATAACAACACTAGTTGTTCCGGATACGACTATGGTATACCCGGTAGTGTTAGGTCGCGACGTATTGAAGAAATTCGGTCTGGGTCTGAGGAAACTGGAAGTTCAAGTGATAGATGAGCTGTTGAACGTAGAAGTAGATAATCCGCGCGACACGGCATTAGATTCTCTTGGTATCAATCCCGAAATATCTCGTGAAGCACAGATTAGTTTGCGAGAACTCTTTAGGTCGGAATACGTTGAGCCCGCAAGGTCTATTAGTCCAAAAGTCGACATGGAGTTAAAATTAAGCCTGACGAATGAAACCCCATTCCACTTTAACCCACGTCGAGTCTCCGTTTCTGAAAAGGAAAAGTTGAGGAAAATATTAGACGATCTCCTGGAGAGGAAAATCATTCAGCCTAGTAAATCCGAATATGTTTCCCCTATTATTCTAGTAAAGAAAAAGAATGATGAACTCCGACTTTGTGTGGATTATCGTGTGTTAAACAAAGTCCTGCGTCGCGATAATTATCCTCTTCCGTTAATAGAGGACCAAATTGACGTACTTAGAGATAAAAAGTATTTCAGTATTCTTGATCTGAAAGACGGGTTCTTTCATATTCGAATCGCGGATGAATCGATAAAATATACTGCATTTACGACACCGTACGGGATTTTCGAATATAGAAGAATGCCTTTCGGACTCAAAGTAGGACCGTCGAGATTTCAGAGATTTGTAAACGAAGCGTTAGTAGAATTGATTAGATCCGGAGACATTGTCGTATACATGGACGATGTATTGGTCGCAACCGTTACGTTAGAGCATCACTTTAAGGTCTTAAAGCAGTTGTTCAAGTGCTTAGTTGATAATCTGTTGGAGCTCCGACTCGATAAATGTCAGTTTTTATGCACAGAGATAGAGTTCTTAGGTTATCGTATCTCTAAAATCGGAATTCAGCCAAACAAGTCAGGGATTGAGACAATCGAGAAATATCCAATTCCACAAAATTTGAAAAGTCTGCAATGTTTCCTCGGGATGGCTTCGTATTTTCGAAAATTTATTGAAGGTTTCTCCGTTATCGCAAAACCACTTCATGAATTACTCCGTAAAAACGTGGAATTTAAGTTTGGGAAAGAACAACTAAAAGCGTTTCAGATACTTAAGCGAAAACTGCAGGAAGCACCTGTACTTAGTTATACAGTCCTCATGATGAGACGGAACTTCATACAGATGCTAGTTCGCACGGTTTTGGCGCCTCTCTTATGCAAGAAGAAAACAGATATGAAGTTTCACCCGGTCCTCGTATTTTTTCAAAAACGGGCGACCGATACTGAAAGCCGCTATCATAGTTTGAATTAGAACGCTCGCAGTTATCTATGCA